GTGTGTGTGTGTAGTGTGTGTGTGCTGTGTGTGTGTGTGTTGTTGCAGGTGCCTTTTGCCACCCAGTATCTACGGTCTTGATTGGACCGAACGGAGGTCTAGGCTTCGCGATAGGTGACACACACACTCATGACATCACTGAATCTTTAATTAATGAAAGTGTTAATTGGTAAAACGATGATTGATTATTCGTCGTCAACAGCTCATGTGACTCCTGATTGATGATGTGATTGATCTGTAGGAATGGTCGACTCCTCCATGATGGCCATCATGGGTTATCCTGGTCGACATCCGCCACGCCTCCGTGTACGGCAGCGTCTACGCCATCGCTGATGTGGCGCTGTGTATGGCTTCGCTATTGGTAACACACACATGCACCACACACACACACACACACGTGCACACACTCTCTAATACATTTCAAAGCTAAATATCGTTTTAATCCTACAGTTTATAAAGTTTGTAAAGTTACTTCCACCAGCAACAACATTAAAATGCTGTTTACATGTTAATGCGTCAATAATAATTCAGTATGAATTCATATATTTTTATTTGCCTCATATTTTATTTATTTATTTAGAAGTATTTGACATGTGCAAGTGCATTTTGAAAAGTGTAATTTTAAAACTCATATCTTGCATATTTTTATTTTTATATTCCATTTTTATATTATTATATATTATATTTTATTATATATCTATATTATAGTATATACAGTATAAGGACATATATTTATGTCTCTATTTATTTTATATTTTTTATTTTTTTATTTCCAATCATCATCTTTATAATCCACTTCACTTGGCGAAGGAGCAACTGTAACTGGCACCTCTTCCTCCTGGGGATCAATAAAGTTTCTGGTTCTGGTTCTGGTTCTGGTTCTGATTCTGGTTTTGATTCTGGTTCTTGTTCTGATTCTGGTCGGGTTCTGATTCTGGTTCTGATTCTGGTTCTGGTCCTGGTTCCGGTTCTGATTCTGGTTTTGGTTCTTGGTTCTTGTTCTGGTTCTGGTCTGATTCTGATTCTGGTTCCGGTTCTGGTTCTGATCTGATTCTGTTTTTGATTCTGGTTCTGGTTTTGGTTCTGGTTCTGGTTCTGGTTCTGTTCTGGTTCTGGTTCTGATTCTGATTCTGGTTCCGGTTCTGGTTCTGATTCTTGATTCTGATTCTGATTCTGATTCTGGTTCCGGTTCCGGTTCTGGTTCTGATTCTGATTCTGATTCTGGTTCCGGTTCTGGTTCTGGTTCTGAATCTGATTCTGGTTTTGATCTGGTTCTGGTTTTATTCTGGTTCTGGTTTGTTCTGGTTCTGGTTCTGCTTTTGGTTTATTCTGGTTTTGATTTGGTTCTGGTTCTGATTCTGGTTGATTCTGGTTCTGGTTCTGATTCTGGTTTTGATTCTGATTCTGATTCTGGTTCTGGTTCGGTTCTGGTTCTGGTTCTGGTTCTGCTTCTGGTTTTGATTCTGGTTTGATTCTGGTTTTGATTCTGGTTCTGGTTCTGATTCTGGTTTTGATTCTGATTCTGGTTCTGGTTCTGGTTCTGATTTTGGTTTCTGATTCTGATTCTGGTTCTGGTTCGGTTCTGGTTCTGATTCTGATTCTGGTTCTGATTCTGGTTCTGGTTCTGGTTCTGGTTCTGATTTGGTCTGATTCTGGTTCTGGTTCTGATTCTGGTTTTGATTCTGATTCTGATTCTGGTTCTGGTTCCGGTTCTGGTTCTGATTCTGATTCTGGTTCTGATTCTGGTTCTGGTTCTGGTTCTGGTTTGATTCTGGTTCTGATTCTGGTTTTGATTCTGGTTCTGATTCTGATTCTGTTCTGATCTGGTTCTGATTCTTGATTCTGGTTCTGGTGTTCTGGTTCTGGTTCTGCTTTTGTTTTGTATTCTGGTTTTGATTCTGGTTTGGTCTTGATTCTGGTTTTGCATTTGATCTGTTCTGGTTCTGGTTCGGTTCTGGTTCTGGTTCTGAGGTTACTGGCCTGTGACGTGTTCCTTTACTTGCTCTCAGTAGGTTTTGCTGATGATGCTGATGCAGTTTGATGCAGGACTTTCATTTGTAATTCGATGTTTTTACACTGAATTCAAGCAGATGTTGAAGAACTGATGTGAAAAACATCTGCTCTTATTATTTGTTAAAAATTATAACAAAAAAAATGTAACTAATGTGACGTGGATTAAAAGATGATGAGCGCTCTGAAGCCGTGGTGTTCTGAATGAGATGATTAATGACGTTAAACCTGGTCTGTTGTTGCAGGACCGTCACAGGGGGCGCTCTGGTGCAGGCGGTGGGTTTCCCTTGTCTCATGGTGTTCATTCGGGTCATCAACATCCTGTACGCGCCGCTCTGCTTCCTGTTGCGTAACCCTGCGGTCCGAGAGGAGAAATGGTAACTGGTCACACCGTTTTTGTGTTGTTGTTGTTGTTGTTACTACCGACCAATCAGATCACTGGAAAAACTGAGTCATCATTCTACAGGATCCTGACGGGGACAAAAAGAATAAAGAGCAGCAGATATTTCAGTGGGAGAGTTTATCTCTGAATAAAATATTAATAACTATCAGCTTCATTTGATTCTTCATGGAGGATTCCTGACAGTGATGAAGCTTTTACTCTCCTCTTCCTCTCCTCCTCTTCCTCCTCTTCTGCCTTCTCTTTCCTTCTCCCTTCCTTCCCCTCTTTCCTTCCCCTCTTTCCTTCCTCTCCTCTTTCCTTTCTCTCCTCTTTCCTTCCCTCTTTCTCCTCTCCTCTTTCTTCCTCTCCTCTTTCCTTTCCCTCTTTCCTCTCCCCTCTTTCCTTCCCTCTTCCTTCCTCTCTTCCTTCCTCTCTTTTCTTCCTCTCCTCTTTCCTTCCTCTTCTTTCTCTTCCTCTTTCTTCCTCTCTCTTTCCTTCCTCTCCTCTTTTCCTTCCCTCTTTCCTTCCTCTCTTTCCTTCCTCTCTTTCCTTCGTGATGATAATTCATGATCTTATTAATAATATATTCTTAGTGTGACTTTAATAGAAATGATTTTAGACATGGAAACGTCTCTATGTTTTATGTCTATATGTCTAAATGTTTTGTTCCAGTCATGTGATCGTGTTTGTTACATTCACCTGTTGAGTGTCACTGTTGGACGCTGTTATAACTGAACTTCACCTGCAGGTGTCAGCGTTTCTTCTCATATTAAGAACTTCATTCATGGTTCAGACGATGCTGCTTATAATTAAAACTCAGGACATGAAATCAGGACGGTCACGTGTCAGTTAAACCCAGATCACTAACGGCTGCTTCATAGTTCAGACCTCTGATCAATCACCACCAACAACAAGATATCTGTCATCGACTTTAACAAGGAGAATTATTCAATCAGGGCACACAACACAACACACACACACAACAACACACACACACACACACACACACACACACAGCACACACACACACACACACACACACACACACACACATACACTCTGTGTGTAGTGGCAGGTCCTTGGCAGATCAACAGGATGTGTGTGTGGTCTGTGATGTTTGTGTGTGAAGTCATTACACAGTGATTAGACTGATCACAGATCAGAAGCTTCTGCCTTCAAAGTGAAGAGAAAACATTTCCACTCAATAAACCCCTAATCACACACAGAGTTATTGATCAACTGTGTGTGTGTGTGTGTGTGTGGTGTGTGTGTGTGTGTGTGGTGTGTGTGTGTGTGTGTGTGTGTGTGTGTGTGTGTGTGTGTGTGTGTGTGTGTGTGTGTGTGTGTGTGTGTGTGTGTGTGTGTGTGTGTGTTGCAGGTCAATCGACCAGGAGTGTGTGATGCACAGGAAAAGCTACAACACACAGAAGGAGAGTCGTGAAGTTTCCTCTGAGCGACTACAGTGAAGAAGAAGAGACGGAGGAGTGACACATATACACACACACACCACACCTGTCTATGTTGTGTTGATGTAGTCTCCATGTTTCACCTTCATCATCAAGATTCTGTCGTCACAGTCAGAACCAGAACAGACGCCGGACATTTCTTAAAGGGACAGTGTCTTTAATTTCTTGTGCAGGAGGAACCGCTCCACTGGTTCCTGACTGGAAACGTCTCATTCATTCTCCTCATAGACATGAAATCACACCGAAACTTCTCCAGGTTATAGGGCCTCATTCACCAATATCGTTTAAGTATTTTCTTAAATTCTTTCTTAAGAAAAGTTCTTAAGAAAGTTCTACGTCAGATTCACGAACGTGTTCTTAAACACAGAACTGTGTGCACCTGTTCTTAGCCTGATGAATGCCACTCTCCTGGTAAAATTGAACGTGTGCGCCAGTTGGCCCTAATTAGCATCGGTAACGCCAAAGATGCCCTTAAAAGGGCGTGAGACTGAAGGTGTGTTGCAGACACAGACAGAACTCACAAAGAGATACCGTGAGGGAAAGCTGAAAAATGCCAAAATGAAAATCTAAAGACGGAGAACCGGAATCAAAACGCAAAAGGAACTTGAGTCGTTCTGAAGTGGAGGAACTGCTGCAGGAAGTGAGTCGCTAACGAGCAGTTCAGTGTTAATGTAGCGTTCATTCATTTTAAACATAATGTTTGTAAAATAACAACAGTTTATTATACATGACAAAAATATTATTGTAATTTAACACACACACACACACACACACACACACACACACACACACACACACACACACACACACACACACACACACACACACACACACACACACACACACACACACACGATTGATTAGATGAATGGATGAATGGTTGGTTGGTTGGATGAGTGGAGCAAGGAATGAATGATTGATAATATATATAGATGGGTGGATGCTACTTACACACAGCAGACTGATGCCAACGATAAACATCCCCAACATGGAGCAAAGCCACCTGGAGATACAGAAAATTACCCATCAGCCACCTGTGCGTCTGTCACCTGCAGGTTTACCAGAACCCGCCAGGTTCAGGTCTGAACAGGACTCAGAGTTTCCAGAAAAGTTAATCTGTTAATCTGCTGATTAAACTTCTTCCTCTGAGCCGTGTACACACACGCACACACACACACACACACACACACACACACACACACTGACCGTCCCATCTTATTGGCCAGGATACCAAACAGGTTTGTTCCTATCAGGTAGGAGACACTGGCGGGGAGGAAGGCCATACCTGCAACACAACACACACCTGTTAGGGGGGGGGGGGGCTGTCGGAGGACACTTGTGAGTGAATGTGAAACCAGATAAAAGTCAATGTTGAGTTTCTGCCAGACATAGTTCACTGTAAGAGAATGAAACATTTTACAAATTAAAAGCTAATTTCACGTTAAAGTATGGGTTTCCAGGTAATGGCTGGAAATGGCAGCCATCTTGGAAAATTGCAGCCTTTTGAAATTTCAAGTGTCTAATGGGGTTTTTCAGATTAGTGGCCTCAGAGGGAAAAACACACCAGATTTTGATCCTTGTACCGACATTAGTTGGTTATCTGCTGCAGTGAAAGTCAAACCCATGAACAGACAGCGGATCGTACCAAGTTGCCATTTAGGGGAGCACATGGTCTGCATCATCCAGATGGGCAGCGTCGGCTCCAGGATGGCGACGCCCATGTTGGCGAAGCACAGAGACCCTGGAGACACAAAGACAAGAGGACGTCTGTCCCTCTGCTCTGACTCCTCCTCATGTTTGAGTATAAGGGCCAGAAAGCCTTGATTGACAGGAGTGTTAGCCAATCACAGGCGGCTCAGCTCCACCCACACTGCATCCTTTAAACTTCTGTGACTCATGTGTGTTTGTGGAGATAAACATGGTTGTACAGGTGAGCGGGAGCACAGGTGTCTTACCTGCACTGATGAGGATGTATGGATCCTTTAACAGGGTCAGTAATGGAGTCCCCTCCACACTCTGAAACACAGGAACCCAACCTGGTCAGTTCAACACACCTGAGTCTACGTCACACCTGAAACACCTCTCATCACATTAGATCAGATTTAATCAGATTAGACCAGGTCACATCATCAGATCTGGATCAAACTGATACCAGTATGTTAAGTGGACTCACCCCAGGAGAGATCTTTGAAGGCTGCAGGATGCACAGCTGCAACGCTGCAACACACACACACACACACACACACACACTGCATCACGTATTCAACACAGGCTTTTAATTTGGCGATCTGTTAGTTGGGTTGAATGTAAAAACACTGTGTGAACAAAACCAGGTGTGTGCGACACACTGGGACCTGGACCTGGTCTCCAGTCTCACCTCCATCAAACAGAGCCAGGAAGGCCAGGATCAGGAAGGGGGCGCTCTTCCCCACAAATTCATACATCACACTGCCAAACGGAGCTCCGACTGAAACACACACACACACAAAAAAGAGTTATATGACACAGTGTGTGTGTGTGTGTCTCTCTGTATTTTTGTGTATGATGTGTGCGCGTGTGTGTGTGTGTGTCTCTCTGTATTTTTGTGTATGATGTGTGCGCGTGTGTGTGTGTGTGTCTCTCTGTATTTTTGTGTATGATGTGTGCGCGTGTGTGTGTGTGTGTCTCTCTGTATTTTTGTGTATGATGTGTGCGCGTGTGTGTGTGTGTGTCTCTCTGTATTTTTGTGTATGATGTGTGCGCGTGTGTGTGTGTGTGTGTGTCTCACTCAGGACTCCCATAGCCAGTCCTCCCAGTGCGATGCCCATGGCGATGCCTCTCTCCTCGTCATTTGTGTACACACTGGCCAACATACCCAGACCTACACACACACACACACACACACACACACACACACACACACACACAAATGATGATCATGATCATTCTCTGACACTTTGAATTGTTTGTAAATAAACATGTTAAAAACAAAACAAAACTCTTTGATTTATTGTCTTTTATGTTTGTATCTAGTTTTATTTCATTTTATCATTTTATTTTCTAAGTTTCATTAATAATATTTATTCCATGTTCTTATGTCACTTTGTAGATTTCAACTGTTTCATTGTCAGATGGTCAGTCGTCTGTATGAGAGAGGCAGGACAAATCAAGACTGATTGATTGATTGATTGGTTGATTGACTGATTGACTGATTAATTGATTGACTGATTGATTGATTGATTGATTGATCTTGTTGTCATTTCTTCTTCTGGTAAATTTTGCCTTTTTCCATAAAATTAACACATTTTTCCACTTTTGTTTTTTCAGCGTGTTTTGGTTATTGCTCTTTCCTGCACCATTCAATCCCACAATGCCTTGTGTCTCATAGAGAATGAACACCAATGTGAAGTGTGTGTGTGTGTGTGTGTGTGTGTGTGTGTGTGTGTGTGTGTTACCAGTAGCGAAGCCCATACACACCTGCCACAGAGGAGAAGGACGAGCCGATTCCCTGCAGAGACCGAGCAAAGAACAGCAGAGCGTAGGTCCCTGAGAATGCAAACACTGACACACACACACACACACACACACACACACACACACACACACACACACAATTCGATGTTTCTTTGCAGAAAACACACTGCTGTGTGTGTGTGTGTGTGTGTGTGTGTGTGTGTGTGTGTGACTTACTGATGGTCGACACAAACATGATGATGAATCCAGCAAACATGGGGATGTGATACCCGATCCTAGAGAGAGAGACAGAGACAGAGAGAGAGACAGAGAGAGAAAGAGACAGAGAGAGAGAGACTTTGACTTTAACACAACTTTATTTGGGACCTTATCAATATCATCCTTAAACTTTTTCACTAAGTCAAATAATCAAAAAGTTACTGCAAACAAAGAAAAATGAATAAATAAATAAATAAATAAATAAACAAATGAAACAAAACAAAACAAAACAAGAAAACTTCCATTCACACACTCTCTCACACACTAAGGGGTAAACTAAGCTAAGCTAAGTTAAGCTAAGCTAAGCTAAGCTAAGCTAAGCTAAGTTAAAAGTCCTCCCCCAGTGAGGTCAGGACCTGCCCAAAGCCCCACTCAGCCCTGAACCCGTTCATGTTCCCGGTCAGTGTGAAAAACGCTCGCTCTACTTTCAAACGAGCTGCCACCAAACCTTTCAAACAGCGGACCGGGTCAGTCCAGCCTTCCCCCCTCATCTGGTTTTTTCGTGTCCTCCAAATTGCCAACTTGGCAGCTGCAAAAATAAAATTAATTAAAACCAGGGACTGTCTCTTCCTGGGAGTGTACTTTGGTCCGTACACAAAGACGGACAGGGAGAAGGTCTCTCCCAGCCGCTCCACCCACTCCTTCAGCAGCTGGAACAGCCCTGTCAGGCGGGGGCAGGACACCACCAGATGCTGGAGGGTTTCTGGTTCAGGGCAGAAGGGGCAGTTCTCCTCAGTGCTGGGGTTCAAGTGAGCTACGTGTCTGTTTGTAGCTATGGCTCCATGTACGATCCTCCACTGGAGGTCGGCCATCCGTTTCTCAACAGGAGGCTTGTACAGGAGACGCCAGCTGCCTTTAGGGGAAGAGTCTGAGCCAAACACCTCTGTCCACCTGGACTCCCGGACTCCATCCAGAGAGCGGAGGTTCAGCACCTTGATGCAGCTGAGGTACAGCTGCTTCTTGCTGCAGGAGCTGAAGCTGCCCAGCACTGGAGTCTTCAGGGAGAGGAGCAGGCCTCTGTCCTCGCTCCACTCCCCCACAGCAGGACTCACACTCAGTGAGGGGAAGATGTAGTCCTGTCCCTCACACCATCGGTCGGCCATAGTCCTGTTCTGAGCAAACGCCCTCAGAGGAGCGGGAAGCGAGCGCCACACCTTCTCCATGAGGCTCTGCAGCATCCTGGATGACCGGACGCCCGACATCTCAGCCAGCTCCTCCAGAGTTCTCCTGGTGAGGTGACCCAGCTTCACAACGCCAGCCTCGATGAGCTTTGCTCTCATTGTGGGCGAGGAGAGTCCAGCAACTGGCAGGAAGGCGTTGTGAAACAAAGGCTCCTCAAAGAGCCACTTCCCCGGCCGAGGGTCGGGAGGTCGGGCGACGGTCAGTGTCCTCCAGGCGTTTAAAACCGATTTGTAGAAGGGTGTGAGCCCTTCCAGGTCACATCCAGCTGGCTTTAAAAGAAAGAGTTGTTTATCCAGTCCGAGCCGTCCGGCTCTCTGGAGTAACAGGCGGGCCAACGCCGACCAGCAGGGCGAGTGTCCATACAGCAGCCGCTGAGCTGCTTGCAGTCTGAAAGTCGCAGTTCTGGACTTAATGTCAATCAGGCCCTGCCCCCCCTCTGCCACAGGGAGATACAGGACCGACGCTCTCACCCAATGACATCCAGTCCAAAAGAAGTCCACCAGGAGCCGCTGCAGTTGTTCCACGAGGTCAGGCGGAGGCAGCAGCACCTGCAGTCTGTGCCAGAGGGACGAGGCCACCAGGTTGTTGACAATCAGAGCTCTTCCCCTGTAGGACAGCTGAGGTAGCAACCATGTCCATTTAGACAACTTAGCTTGCACTTTCCCCAGCACTCCCTCCCAGTTCTGCCTTTCCCTGTCCTCACTGCCTAAGTGAACCCCCAGGACCTTCATCCCTGCGTTTCCCCACTGCAGGTTCCCAGGAAGGCCTGGAGTGTTCCCTCTGCTCCACTCCCCCACCAGACATGCCTCGCTCTTCCCCCAGTTCACCCTTGCTGAAGAGGCCTTCTCATACAGAGCTAGGCTGCCCTCAAGCTCCTTGATGTCCTTCTGGTCCTTGACAAAGATGTTAATGTCGTCTGCATAAGCCGATACGACCACAGGGGGGCCGAGAGCCGGCCCAGGCAGACACAGACCCCTCAGCCGCTTCCTGAGCCTGCACAGGAGCGGTTCAATGGCCACACTGTACAGCTGTCCTGAGATAGGGCATCCCTGCCTGATCCCCCTTCCCACCTCTACAGGACAGCTCAGCCCCCCCCCCACCTTCACCACACAACACGCACTCCTGTACAATAATTTCACCCAGGACAAAAAGTGCTCCCCGACACCAAACGCCTGCAATGTGGCAAACAAGAAAGAGTGATCTACACGATCAAAAGCTTTCTCTTGATCTATTGATAAAATGCCAACATTTAAATTATATAATTTGCAGACATCAAAAATGTCTCTCATTAAAAACAAATTATCCCTTATGGATCTGTCTGGGACACAGTAGGACTGATTGGCACCAATTAATTGTCCAATAAAAACTTTCAGTCTGTTGGATAAAACCTTAGATAAAATTTTATAGTCTGTGCATAAGAGAGCCACAGGTCTCCAGTTTTTAAGGAGCGTTAAATCTCCCTTCTTGGGCAGCAGGGAGATCGCTGCACGGCGACAGGAAGCAGGAAGACTCCCTTTGTTAAAAGACTCCTTAAAAACATCCAACAGGTCGTGTCCCAGTAAGTTCCAGAAGTGTTTAAAAAAGTCTGCCGGCAGGCCGTCCATCCCTGGAGCTTTCCCTGAGGCCATGTGGGTGACGGCCGTGGTCAGCTCCTGCAGAGACAGGTCCAAGCTGAGGGTGTCGCGGTCCTCCGGCCTCAGCCGAGGAAGGTCGTCCAGCAGCTCCTCAGTAGCGTCCATGTCGCAGCTCTCCGCCCTGAACAGGTCAGAGTAGTACTCCACCGTGTGTCTCCTCATTTCCGCGGGGTCAGAGGTCAACCTTCCGTCCGGCAGGCGGAGACACACCATCTGCTTCCTCTGGGCCTCGGACCTCTCCAGGCTGAAGAAGAAGCTGGTCGGAGCGTCCATATCCTTCAGTGAAGTGAAGCGAGCTCGGACCAGAGCTCCTTTGGCTCTCTCATGGAGGATGGAGCTCAGCTGCTGTCTTCTGGAGGCCAGAGTCTCTGTGTCGGCTGAGGACACACTCTCCAGCTCTCTGATCTCTGTCTCCAGCTGCTCCACAGCCCTCCTGATGTTAGCCGTGGAGTAGGCTGTGTACTGCTGGCAGAAGACCCTAATCTGACCCTTGCCCACCTCCCACCACTGACTAAGGGAGGGAAAAGACCCCTTCCTGGATTTCCAATAAAACCAAAAGTACTTAAAATTTTCACAAAACGTAGAGTCACGTAAAAGCTTAACGTTAAAATGCCAGAACGATGAGGATTTCTGGGTGGGAGATAAAAACAGCTCTGCTGACACTAGATGGTGGTCTGTGAAACCAACAGGGAGGATGTTACTGTTGGTAACACGAGCTGTAAAAGCAGCAGAGATGTAAAGTCTGTCCAGCCTGGCTGCACTGACCCTGCCGTCTGAGACTTTAACCCAGGAGTACTGCCTGACTGACGGATGCTTCATCCTCCAAACATCCACCAGATCAGCCTCTCTCAGCAGCTGGGCCAGAGAGGAGGAGGACTGAGGGTGGGGCTCCTGTCCTGTCCTGTCCACCCTGTCAGTACAACAGTTCCAGTCCCCCCCCAGAATAACACACTCCCCCCTATTACACTGGCTGAGTCTGTCCTTCAGCAGCTGGAAGAGAGCGAGGCGTTCAGGGCCGTGGTTAGGAGCATATATGTTTATAAAGTTAAAAACAACAGAGTCTATTTCTGCCCTGACCATGAGCCCCCTGCCCCTCTCTATCTCAGTGCTGGATAAAATGTTTACTGCTAAAGTGGGGGAGAATAAAACAGCGACTCCAGCACTTAAATTGGAGCCGTGACTGAGCACATGCTGCCCCCCCCACCATAAGCCCCAGTCTGTTTCATTCAGAGGGTCACTGTGGGTTTCTTGCAGGAAAATTACATCCAGCCTTTTGTCCCGGACGACCTCTGAGACCAAAGCTCTTCTCTGAGCATTTCTACCCCCGTTAATATTTAAAGAAGCCGCCCTGAAGCCCGGCATCAGAGGAGAGGAGAGACAGAGCAGGAGGGAGACAGACAGACAGACACAGCAAAAAGAAAACACCCTGTGTTGTGTGTTCATTATTTGCTTACCTGGATAATTTCATTCGTTTTACTTTCTTGGAGCTTTTTAAGCTTCTCCTTAAGGTGGTGACATGTTTTTTGAGCCTGTAGCGTTTCTTGTCATCCAGCAGGTCCACCCCCACCACCTTCTGCAGAGTGGACACTGACTGGATGAACTTTTCTACATCAGGAAAGAAATCTGTCACATTGACTTGTCTGCCAAATGTTTCATCCAGAAAGTCATTGATGTCTCTCAGAGAGTACAGGTCTGTATTCTGAGAGACACTGTCAGCTACAGACAGACAGTCCGAGTCAGACTCCACCTCCATTCCAGTCACATGACTGCTGTCCAGACTGGCCTGTAACAGCTCAGCCTGCTGTGCACCACACTCCTGTCCCTGCTCTGCCCCGCCCACTTTACCTACCTGACCACACTCCTGTCCCTGCTCTGCCCCGCCCACTTTACCTACCTGACCACACTCCTGTCCCTGCTCTGCCCCGCCCACTTTACCTACCTGACCACACTCCTGTCCCTGCTCTATCCCGCCCACATCATTGTTTCCTTGACCAGCAGTTACCATGGTTACATGGTCTGCCCTCACCTCAGTACCTGTCATTGCTTCTTGTTCCTCAGTAGCCACCTGTTCTTTGGATACAGGGCCGACGGATGTAGCTAAAACTCCGTCCGCGCCGCCCGCAGCCCCGGTGCCGACGGCCGCGGAACCGGGAGCCGCGGAGACGGCAGGCCGGCCCCACACCGTGGGAGCGGCCCCGCCGCTCCCCTCTCCGCCAGCAGCTCCAGCGGCCGCCGCTGAGAGCTGTCTGTGCGGACATGCGACCCGCTTGTGCCCCACATCTCCACACTCGAAGCACTTCATGTTACCTGAGCTGGCGTACACCAGGTAAAAACTTTCCTCGTGCTTCACCCGGAAAGACACCTCCAGTGTTTGAGCGGGAGAGTCGAGGAACATGTAAACCTGTCTCCTCAAAGACTGAACATGTTTCAGCTTGGCGTCCTTACAACCCAGACCCACCGACCGGAATCCACTCGCGAACCTCCCGAAGCGCTTCAGCTCTTTCTCCAGAGCTTCATTCGGGATGAACGGAGGGACTCCGGACACGGTGATCCGGGTTGAAGGCACCGCCAGCGGGGAAACCTGTACAAACTCTTCCCCTAGGTTTAGACCGCTCTCGATCAGCTGAGTGACACAGGCCTGATCCTTTAAAAACACCACCACAGCTTTGTTCATACGGGAGGCGTACGAGATGTTGCCGTGGCCCACCTGCTCTCCCACCGCCAGCAGCACCTGCTCCACGGTGGAGCTGGGCCGCGGCACCAGCCTCACTCCATGTCTCAACGACAGGGACGGCGTCTCAGAGGACGCCATCCCCGCCACGAAACACGGAGAAACAGCCAACAAAAACCACCAACAGTCACCAAACACTAACTAAACACCATACAATTAAACCAGTTACCAAACAATAACACACAGTAAGAAAAAAAGAAAGAGAAAACCGACTTTTTACCCGGAAAACTCACACACTCTCACCGACCTCCACTCCCAGCACACACTCAGAGAGAGAGAGAGAGAGAGAGAGAGAGAGAGAGAGAGAGAGAGACAGAGAGAGAGAGAGAGACTCAGAGAGAGACAGAGAGAGGGAGAGACAGAGAGACAGAGAGAGAGAGAGACAGAGAGAGAGAGAGAGACTCAGAGAGAGACAGAGAGAGGGAGAGACAGAGAGACAGAGAGAGAGAGAGACAGAGAGAGAGAGAGAGACAGAGAGAGAGACAGAGAGAGAGACAGAGAGAGAGAGAGAGAGAGGGACAGAGAGAGGGACAGAGAGACAGACAGAGAGAGAGACAGAGAGAGAGAGAGGGAGAGAGAGAGAGAGAGAGGGAGAGAGAGACAGAGAGACAGAGAGAGAGAGAGAGACAGACAGAGAGAGAGGGAGAGAGAGAGAGACAGACAGAGAGAGAGAGAGAGGGACAGAGAGAGGGACAGAGAGAGAGAGACACAGAGAGACACTTTGGTGAACTTGTCCACATTTTTATCGACATAATGAATCAAAAGGTAATAATTGATTAATCCATAATCAAAGTGATGGTTAGCGTCAGGTCATGTGACTAACTGACCTGTTGGTGAGTGGACCAACGAAGGGGTTGATCATCAGCTGGATCAGAGCTTTAGAGGCAAANTTGTCTGATGTGAACCAGTGAATCAGGCTGCAGCTGCTGACTTCTTCTGTCTTTTACGTTTCTTTCTTTAAATTAGAAATTAGTTCAAATTAATCAAAATCATTTAAGATTATTTTTCATATCAAGTTTTTTTCCCCTCATTTTCTAGATGCTCAGCTGAACATACCTGAGCTGCAGCTGCTGCAACACACACCTTTTATTGATGATTTGTTCTCATTATTGATTCTGTTTATGAAACTAAAAAATGACCTGAGCACAAAGTGATGCTTCAGAACACCTGAAGAGAAGAAAAATATTTCATTTACAAAGATGAAATATTGAGAAGCTGCAACTCAAATGTTGATCCATTATCAATATTATCATCTTTCTATTGATCTGTGATCACTGTGAGTTAGCAGGTAGCATCTTAGCAAAAGCTTGTGGGAACATGAATGATGATTTTAGTGTCGGACACGAAACAAGAAAGATTTCTAACGAATCAAACTTCATTAAGAAGGAAGACGTGAAATGACAGAGAGAGAGAGACAGAGAGAGAGACAGAGAGAGAGAGAGAGAGACAGAGAGAGAGACAGAGAGACAGAGAGAGAGAGACAGAGAGAGAGACAGAGAGAGAGAGAGACACAGAGAGAGAGAGAGAGAGAGAGAGAGAGAGAGAGAGAGAGAGAGAGAGAGAGAGAGAGACAGAGAGAGAGACAGAGAGAGAGAGACAGAGAGAGAGACAGAGAGACACTTTGATGAACTTGTCCACATTTTTATCGACGTAATGAATCAAAAGGTAATAATTGATTAATCCATAATCAAAGTGATGGTTAGCGTCAGGTCATGTGACTAACTGACCTGTTGGTGAGTGGACCAACGAAGGGGTTGATCATCAGCTGGATCAGAGCTTTAGAGGCAAACAGCAAACCAACACGCACATTCTCCTCCTCCAGAAACACACTGTCCTGAAGACAGGAGGAGGCCTGAGGAGAGAGGAGGAGAGGAGAGGAGAGGAGACAGGAGAGGAGAGGAGGAGAGAGAGGAGAGAGGAGAGGAGAGGAGAGGAGAGAGGAGAGGAGAGAGGAGGAGAGAGGAGGAGAGAGGAGGAGAAGAAGAAATGAGAAGAAAAGGAGAGAAGAAGAAAAGAAGAGGAGAGGAGAGGAGAGGAGAGGAGAGGAGAGGAG